AACCATAGGCGTGATCCTCTCCCTCAAGTCCAGCTCACAGCCAATGGTCGCCTGAAGCCAGAGAAGAACACGGATCCATGGATCGACCGCGGCCGGCACTATGCTCGTTTCATTACGATGTTTGAGCGGCCAGCCATTGTTCTCCGCCATGCTCAGCGGAGACTCCTCGATTATGACGAGGACACCATCTATACAGCCGAGTCAGTATTCTGCATCTGTTAAACCTGCCGCTGTCTGACTACTGTGACACCAGGGAGGACCGGTGGTACACCTTCTTTGAAGCAATATGCGATGCTCAACCTGGGTTCCGCAGAACTTCAGGAGTTCGAAAAGATTGAGAAATCGGTATGTTACGGCCATCTTGTCATCCATAGCTGACTTGTATACGCATCGCAGATGCAAAAAGGACAAAATAACGCGCGAAATCAGGACACTAATACCCTCAAGTCACGCATTGTTCTGTGGCTCAACAAGACCATCACCGAATCCAACCTGAACTTGCCGCCACTCGATGGGGATAACAAGATCGGCTGCGGGTACGTCCACGAGCTCACTGGTAAGCTTATACGACCTGCGTTGCTAGACTGGAGCGACACATTGTACGTCACATCTCACATCTGTCATTCCACTAACCCGACTCTATCTAGTATTAAGCAAGCACTACGAAACGGTACTGCTACTATCCAGGAGACAGTCATCGCTGACGACGGGACATCCACCACACGGCCTGTTCCTATCAACGGGTTGCACTTCCCCATGTTTCTGTGGAAGGGATCATACAACCCTGATGTGCCATGGGTTGGCTTCTGTCAAGGCTCCCTTCTTGTTAAGGTAAATGCACAACTCTGCTTGTGAGCACATCGCTTATGGTTTCCCAGGCGTATCACTGCATTTTCATCTCACCATCAGCTGCCAACAGCAAGAAGGGAGATCAGGCTCGAAGTACGCACTCCGGCATCGCAGCAATTTGTGGAGTCACTCAAGTCAATCCAGCATCCATCGCATACATTGCTACCCAGGTACGTTCGCTACTCTTAGCCCGAGACATGATGACTCATCAATTCCACCAGGTAAAATTCGCGCTGAGCTCGGAGCCCACTTTCAACAAATACGAGAAGGCCTGCGATAGCCATCGATTCTTCAACGCTCTCCTGGATTGGTTCGAGCATCCTGATTTCAAGATGTTCTCAAAGGATCTCCTTCAGTGGTGGAATTGGTGAGTGTGCCTGGTGTTGCTGGTGTCTGTCGCTGATCCCTACAATCCCTATTGCAGTCAGATCTTCCCGGCCACTGCAAATCTTCACAGCAAGAGCACGACTAATGACACGGTGCATCGTATGAAGGCCGCACTTGCCGCTACCAATACCGCTGTCCCGACAAGTGCCGTTGGTGAAGACGACGACGGTGAAATCTAATCTTTTGCCACATTGTCATTGTATTCTATTCTCCTCTGTAATACAACTCTTGTGATCTACAAATATGCCTGCCTTCAATTGCGAGATGAGATCTGTATTGCTATGTCTTGGATAACTCCCGGTAATATAAAGGTCTTGCATCACACGCACAACTGTTGCATTCCTTCTGAAGCGGTGGGCCGACTCTCAGTAGTGGTAGCAGTCATGTAATCGTTTCCCGTGATATACAAGTCTTGTGCTACTGATGTAATCCCTATGACAACTTGGTTAGGAGCAACCAGGATGCCGAAGTCGGCAACACTGCCAGCGAACGGGAAGACCCACTCGGTCTCGTATGGCATTGCAATCTAGACTACAAGACTTTTGGCTCCGCCTAACCTTGTAGTCATTGCGAGGCCTTGCATGGTCTCGCGCGAGTGCGGCCGTTTTTGCGATGTATGAATGGCGAATTATGCCCTCGTGCTCAACGTGCGAAGTTGGCTGGCACGTTTCTCACGGCAGGGCAGTACGTGTGACGTAATTACCACATGACCCATCAAACATGAGCAAACATCTCAGCTGTACTTAAGGTCGTCTGGGCTTGCAACGTCGTCATCCCACCACAACATATGGTCACGAACGCTCCCCTAGCAGTGAGGCTCTAATCTTCACGCTGGGGGAGGCTTTGTACTGCATAGAGGACAGTGAGGCTTTAATCTTCACACCTCAGTTGCAGTGCAACAGACCAGGGGGTGAAGGGGATGACGAAGAAAGAACCCATTCAGGTAGTCTTGAAACCAGCCGTTCTGCGGGGACGAGAATAGATCGAGCGATGACGAAAGCGAGTGTCAGAGTAACGTCTTGTTGTGTCAACGTCAGATGGGATGGTTGGGGTCGTCTCGCGCAGAACGTCTGGTGTAGTCTCGAATCCAGCCGCCCTATCGCAAGCGCATCAAACTCAAAGCAAAGAGAAAGGTTGGAGTCAGTGCTGGATCTGACCAGCGCAGGCAAACGTCAGCATTATGCCATTGCACTCCTTGACAAGTTCTTCCGCCACGTGCCGGCAACATTCCGTGCGGGTGTGTTATACGACATAGGCTGTCAGTTGCATCGAAGCTGTTATAAGTGGGACCTCCTACCAGATTACTGCGACCGCATAGTGTTCGTGATCTCGGTGTTCCACGCGTTTGGCCACCAATGGCCATGTCAAATCATATACCACCCGCGAAAGTGTGCGTGTTTTGGCCTTTCAGATGGAGAAGGATGCGAGCGCCTCTGGAGCGCACTGGACCACCTCGTGGCCGGGCTGCGTGTTAGCGGTGTAAGTGATTATCCACCTGAACAAAGAAGAGATCACTGACGGAATTGTGAAGTACTTTCAACGGTTGTATGTGATCAACTCTCAAATACACCATCTGGATGGCCTACACCGGCGTGGAATCGCTAAATGGCTTGTACGCAAGTA